CACGAACATGCTATATGTCTTTAATATCAACCGGATTGACATTTATACCCTCCCATTTACTATTGGGTTTCAAATGTATATAAGGTGGCTTAAATTCAAGACCTAGAAATTAATTCTTTTCTAATCTTCAATCGCACTCTCATAACTATGTCTCATCCTGATTTACAGTCTAATCGAACTTATGTTTCCCCATCTCGGATTTCCCCCAGAAAACCTCCTAGTACTCTATTTTAAATATTCCTTATCGCACAATATTACCAACCCGAAGATAATTAGTGTCACCAAAAGAGAGTTAGGGCACAAAGGAAATTATTTAAATAGACAAAGGTTTATATCATAATTAATTGTATTAGTTAGACTATATATGGAGTTGTCGCTTAGAGATAAAAGAAAAACTTGTATTTTAAGATTAATGGTGAAAGGAAATGATAGAAGGTAATATTACAACATCTGTGAGCGCTGCTGCATTAAATGTCTTCTCCTTCAAATCACTAATCCACTCTATTGGATCTATCTCAATCTCAAGATCTAACACATGGATTTCATCCTCAGAGAGCTTCCTTCTTCCTCTTAGATCCTCGTCTTCAATTATTGAGATTGCATCGGCTACTACATTTTTCTTTCCTTACAGATATTGCAAATCGATATCTAAATTTGCTAATAGATCTGACCATCTCTATACTTTTGTGGAAAGTTCGCCTTTCTTACGTATAGGCAATGGGCCTGCATGATCAGTTCTCAAGACAAATTGTCTTCCCTGTAGTAGATACTTAAAATGTTTCAGTGTCAATATAATCCCCAGTCAATCCAACTCTCCTATAAGATAGTTCATCTCTGATCCTTTCAAAGAGTGTGAGAAATATACCACAAGTTCTTTCAGACCAAAAGTCTCTGTCACTTCTTCCAAGACTGCATCGACACCATGCTTAGAGGCGTCAATCGTCAGTCTGTACAACATATTCGGTCTGACCGCAAGGAGCACCGACCCTGACAAAAGAATCCTTTTCAATTCCTCCACTACCCTATTCTGCATGTCAGACCATTCTGTCTGTTCTGTTAAGTATATTTGTATGGGCTCAGTTTTAGTTAGGCAATGAGGAATAAATCTTCTATAAGAACTAATTAAGCCTAGATCTTTTGTGTTTCGTTAACAGTTCTTGGTATTAAAAAGTTATTTTTGGCCTTGTATTTGTCTTAAATGGGATAAATTTCATTCACTCCGACGCTATATCCCAAATGCTCTACTTCATCGGCTGCAAAGGTGCGCCTCTTCTTCTTTGTTATCAGTCCAACATTCTTTAATCTATCCTATAATATATCTAAATGAATCCAATGTTCGTTCGATGTGTTGGAAAATATTAATATGTCATCCAAATATATATTTACAAGATTCAAGTATGTGAATAGATCTGCTATGTACCTTAAAAATGGAATATGTGCATTAACTAAGCCAAAAGGCATCACAGTATTTTCCTACTTACCATTAAAAGTGACAAATTCTGTCTTATCTCTATACTGTTCCTTCATAGTGAACCGACGATACCCACTATGTAAGTCAAGAATATCAAATATAGATGCGGAACCAACTTTTGCTAGAGCCCGATCATTAAGTGGTGAAGGGAATAGATCTTTGACAGTAGCTTTGATTAAGTTCCGATAACTTGCATGCAATCTGTTTCTCCAACCCTTCATCTTAACCATCATAATAGGTGAATTAAGCGGTGGTTTATAAAGTACTACAAACTTCTTGCCAATAAGATCTTTAAGTATAATACTAACTTCACCTTCCAATTTTGGCGTTAACCTATATGGTTGTGATTTTAGAATCTTTACACCCTCTTTGAGTACTATATCCTGAAAGATATTGGCATCTACATTTAAATATTTTGATGTTAAGTCGTTCCTTCTTGTTGTCCTATAATTAAGTCGTAACCACTCGGGAATCTGTTCAAAAGAATGATTTTCTTAAGGGAAAATTGTATAAATTGCAAAAATCTGATCATATTCTTCTTCACCTTTATCTTGCATCTCTTCAACAATAGTATATATCGTATTATTTTGAGATGCAATCGTTAAATTCATTAACTCAGGAAATTTTTTAAAAACTGGAAATCCAATAAAGATATCAATCATGATATTATATGTGATATAAATTGGAATAGAATAACCTTTACCCTTTAAATTCAGAGCAAATTGAACTGTTTCTGTAGTAGATGCGGTTTTATTTCAGGCAACTCCCTTGAAAGTAACTAGAGGAGCTTTCTCTAATTATTAGGTTTAATCGATGAGCAATGTTTCTTCTGATAAAAGATGTTGGCGAAACTGTATCCAACAAAATATTTTGCGAGCAATTATTTATTTTATGTCTTATTTGTGGAATTGAGCCAATTTGGAAAACTTGGAGCAACAATCGAACTTTGTTTAAAATTGGTAGCCTGTAACCCTTTTATTCTCTTTGTAATATTAGGGAGAATCCTCCTTAGTTGGTTTTTCAGGACAATATCTCACCAAATGACCCATTTTCCCACATCCATAACATTTTGGTGCATTATGGCGGTTATTATATTTTTTTTGTTTTCCATATTTCATATTCTGCTTGGATCTACTATGATTATTAAATCTCTGTGAGTTATAAAGAACAGGAGCAGCAGAGATGTTCAATGATTTTTGATTATGGTCAATCATTCCATTAGCGGAATTAGTTCCATAAAAAGTTTTCTTATGAGTTTTATTAATATCGATACCCCGAAGTTCGTCAAATGATCTAATCTGTTCTGCGCTTTTGCATGCTGCAAGGAGTGTTTTTGGTTGACCATATAACACTAACTGAGCAGTTCTATTTTCTAAACCCCTGAGATAAAAACAAAGCAAAAAATCCTGAACTGTTATTTCAGGTGGAAAAAACCTTACATATTCATTAAATTTAAGATTATATTGTTCCAATCCCAATGTAGATTGTTTCATTTCCAGCAATTGATTAATAATCTTATTATAATCAACTTTAACTGCAAAATGCTCAATGAATTGCTTCTTAAATAATTCAAATTTATGATCGTTTGTACTGTGATACCATTCTAATGCCCATACTGCAGCATTTCCATATAATCCATCACACATGAGTGCTATTTTCTCATCATCGCTTTGAAGTTGCCTTATAATGATCTGTAACGCAATATTTGCGAGAAAAGTTTGTAACTTGATACCATCATCTGGTCCACTAAATATTTCAGAGACAGTGACTGGACCTCCAATCTTTTCTTCAGAAATTCTTACTTTTTTCGCTGTTCCATTTGACATGATTTATAGCTTTATATTACTACTCTATGTGGTAATAAACCGAAATCTTCTATACTTTCGTTTCACCATTCATATTAGAATACGACTAGTTCATTTATATCTAAATGACAACTCTCTATAGAGTCTAACCAATGCAAATTATTTTTGATATAAACCTTTGTCTATTTATACAATTTCCCTTATCTCTCTCGTCTCAAGTATTGTGACACTAGTTATTTTCTGATCTGATCGGACTCTCACCTGATGGTATTCCTATTTCTTTTAAGAAAATATACCCGTGATTTTAAACTAATCACAGCCAGCTTCAAATAGGGTTTATGATTAGAAACTATTGGAATGTTCCAGATGTCACATTGGTTTTAAAGAATTATTCTAGTATCTTACATTCAGAATAAACAACAGAAATAAAGGCATCTTTCCAAGCTCATATAATATCTAATTTAGGTATTTCAGACTAGTTTATATATTAAATATTATATATGAAAGGTATAAGTAATATAATAAGTCTGTAGTTAAGAAACACGTATCTAATATCAAGATTCAGCCATTGCTTCCCCTCTGAATATTATGATGTCTGTATAAATTCGAATAACTCTGATTAACTCTGTAACGATCTGTAATAAAACAACTCGAAGAATTAAAGAATATTCTTTTATAAAAGTATGTCAAAATAAATATCTTAACAATCCTATACAATTCTCACTTGGCTCGTCGTCATATTAAGAGAAGAGAAGAGAAGAGAAGAGATATATAACACATAGCAATAAAGTTGTGTTGAGTAACGTAACTATATTAACAATATTGTCGGGATTATAGTTGTAGTACATGGCATTACTGGCAGAACAAACCCAAACGACAGGTAATTATACAATATTACAATAGTTGACTTAATATAGGATATCTATTTGAGGAATAATGGAATTACAATATATATGAAATAGGTTTCTCAATTAATTCATTTTGATTACTTACAGTATAAAAAGATGCATTGTGAATTTATGAGCAAAACAATTTCTTTTTGTTGGAAATTGAATCTATATTTGAAGAATAAACTAGTCACACAATATCTAATCATTGTTATTATACGTCTTTTAATTTGACTTCTTCCCAAACTCTTGTCACTTGTACAAATATGTTAAAGTATATTCAAGAATGGATATATTTGACTAATTTGAAGGTGTTTATAAGATTGGTTCAAATTACACTTGATATTCTTTTGCTCCTATAACCGGATAGATTTTTGCATAATATTTGCAGGAAATTCTTTTTGTTTTATTTGAGCTTTCATATTTAGGACAGGAAAAAGAATATCTTGTTACATACGTTCTGTACTGATCAAAAGATGGTCTTATTATAGAAATACACTGTTCTATTTCTCCAAGATATATCTCCATTAGAAACGACACGATAAGACTCTGACACCAGAGACTTCAATGACATATAGGACGCGACAAGGTGTATTCTTTGTTATCAATTCTTAATTTATAGACATCTAATAATTGTACGTAGAATAAGTGTTTGGACTTGCTTTTATTCTATTCGTCTATTTGGTAGTAGACTAGTACTGTTAATAAGTATATTTATTAATTAAAGAGTTCTATATCCTCTTCTTCTAATGTACTAAGTAACTACTATTAGTTTTTATAAATGTCAACGGTAATAACAAATATTATCTGGTGTCATAGATTATACAAGCAATTCGTATGAAGATATGTCGAAACAATACAAATATCGGCGGCTTTGAAGAGTAGCTTTCCTTAGGTTCTTTTTGATATGAATTCATCAATATCCCCTAATGTATTCAAGTAATACTTTCTTTCTCTGTCACCATATACTAGTGTATATTCAGCAGCAGTTCGGATGGGTGAACCATAATAGATATAATCTGGTTTCAATTTCGGTTTTCTAACCTTCAAAGAACTGAAGAAGAAATGAGAAGCCATATTGTCAAAGAAGAAGAAGACATTAAAAATTTAGGAGAAACCGGAAAGAATTTCGAGAAGAGATTCAATATCGACGAAGCTGAACTTAAACGATTTGAAGAATCTGTCGAAAAGAAATTATTCCAAATGGATGAGAAAATCAACTCCAAGGAAACCAACAATTCTGGATCAAAATACCCATCTCCAAATGAGATTTTGGCTAGAGTTGGAAAGCACTTTCCGCACTTAATCATCTATGGAAGTCATGGATTGCTTACAAATTGCAACAAGAATTATAGTGACGTTTCATTACCAAATTCTAACGACATCACTCTAAAAGAGGAACATCTTGACGATCCAGGTCGTATTCTAATGAATATACAAGGGTCTTTAGTGGGCAAACATATCCGCTTCCAAGACTGGGAAGAGGTTCTATACTCATGTTGCCAAGATGATGTTCGTAGTTATCTAACAGACCAAAGAGGGTTGATTGTGGACTGGACAACAGCTATTTTTAAGCTTTTCCAAACCTTCGATTTTAACGCCAAAACACACCAGTGTTTGCGCGAAATATCTCAATTTTATCCTAAGGCTGGAGATGTAGCTAGAGACTACTTTGTCAAACTGATCCGTAAAGGTAAAGCGGTAAAAGGAGCCTCTACACTAGCAATCGTTAGTACTAAGATTCATGATATCCTGATGACTGAGAATTCTCCGATTCCAGGTCCTAACCTAAACGAGATACATAATTTTATTGATTTACACAATTATGTTACGACCAATATCCCAATATGGTTCGTTCTCCAAGGTAACTATGGAAAGAGTAACTCAGCTCCTTTATTCGCTATTCAGAGATCGCAATCCACTTCTTTCTCAGCTTCTCATCGCAAACCCAAAGTTTCGACTGCCACCTTTTATTGCTCTAATTGTTCTTGTCCTAAGTGTTCTGGAACCATTAAACCTTACATGAAGAGGGGTTTCTGTACCAAATGTAAGTGTGAAAAGTGTTCTTCCAGAATAAGACGTTACAAGAAATCGAACATAGCCGATATGAAGGTTAATGTTTTGGAAACCGCAAACCATAATGTCTCAACCGACGACGATGACGAAACTGATGATTCTGAATTTGTTTTTGATGACGAAGGTACTTATTCATTGGAGTCACTCAGTAATTTAGACGACAATATCGAACCTACTTCTGTATTTGAGGTTAACTCCTTAGATGCGAGGCATCCCTAAAGAAAAGAACTTAATCGTTCTTGACACTGGTGCAGACGCAAATTTTACATATTCATATTTATGGAAAAACAACGACCACATCCAGTTTAAGAACCTTTCCATTTCAAAAGGATCAACTAGAACATGTCCTTCACTTACAGCAACACCTGCCTTTGGTGTTTCTCTCATTATTACCACACAAATTTATTTAACAATTCAAATTGGTAATGCCAAAATAACCGAATGGTTTTATGTCATTCCTCAGAAAAGGTCTCACATTATATTAGGTAAACCTTTATTGAAGAAACTACATTACCATTTATCTCCGAAGGATGAATCCCTAACAATCCAAGATACTACCATCGATGTTACACATTTCCCAGGTATTTCTGCTACTAACACACTATTAAAAATCGAGAAAATACCATTTCTAACTCAACTGAAGCATGAATTTGCTGAAGTATTTTCTTCCAATTTCTCGATGGACCTTAAACACAAATTTACTGCTCATATTTCCTTAATTAATTTCCCTTATACCACTCCTAAAGCATATTTTGCTAGCGGATTACGTCGTGAGGCTATTCGGAAATATGTCGATCAATCACTCGAGAATGGTCTTATAAAACCATTATCACCTGAAGAAGTCGTCGCAGTTAGCCCTGTATTTGCTTTGCAACAGTCCTCAGAGAAAATCCGGATTATTACAGATTTGAGGAAAGTAAATAAGTACTTACAATTCACACCTCGTCCGATTCCTACCTCGTCCGATTCCTACTACACAATCCATTCTTAGTGAACTATCCAATCATACTGTTTTCTCCGCGTTTGATATTCGTAAAGCATATCAACAATTACCACTATCTGGTGATAAACTCGGTATTATAACCGAATTTGGCACGTACAAGTTTACACGAATGCCATATGGCTTAGCCTCGGCTCCATATTGGTGGGGTGAATTTATTCAGCGGATTATTGACGAGATATCTACATCCACTTCTACCGTAATACGCTACTACTATGATGACATCATTATCGCTTCAAAATCCGTAACTGACCATCATCAGATTGTTTTAAAACTATTTCAAGCACTTAAGAAGAACGGCTTATCAATTAGCGAAGAGAAACTTCAATTAGCTTCTGATAAAGTCACATTCCTTGGTTATGAAATTTCTGCTGATCGTATTGCTATAGAACCATCCAAAATTGAAGCGATTCGTAAATGGGAACTTCCTACGACAAAAGAAAGCATTCTAAAGCTCGTTGGTTTCATTAATTATTTACGGAACTTTATACCTGAAGCTTCGGAACATCTACGTCCATTCTACGCTATGATCGATCCAAAAATACATACTACACTACCTCATGTGAAAGAAATCACTCACACGTCAACACCTCCACTTAACCATCTGAAGGAATGGATCGCTAGATCTCTTACTTTAAAACTATTTGACCCTACTGCTCCAACTGTGATATTTTCCGATGCCAGCTTAACAGGTGGTGCATCCATAATTTTTCAACCAGAAATTCATAATAATAAACAGACACCTATTTCCAATTACATTACTCTCGGTTAGCTTTACCCCTACCCAACAGCGTTATTCTACTGTCGAACGAGAACTATTTGCTGTTTTACACACATTGGAAAAAGGAAATTTAGTGTTATCTTCTGACATAACCATATATACGGACAATAAAGGCATCATCAGTATCGGCAACTCCGATCGTAATACACATCCGCGTTTTACTAAGTACCTCGATTTGTTGAATGGACATCGACTAAAATGGAAATACCTCCCTGGCGCAAAGAACGTCTTGGCAGACTACTTAAGCCGCTTAGGTTTGAACGATCAACCAGAGCTGGATCTCGATAGCTTACAAAAAGATGCTATTGATTTATCCGTCACGGAACTTTCATCACTGAATATAAATTCAGCCACAGAACATCCAGATACCCCTGCTGATGATCACCCGGAAACCAATCCCATTACAAATATCAATAATCCGATACCTACTGTTCCGTCTTCTACTGACACTACCCCTACCACTACTTCCACTATTAATTCTTCTGAACCTGAAGAACCTTTGGATCCTGAATACGCCGTGGAGAATGTAAATTCTTTAACGATGTCGCAATTAATTCAAATACAGACCATTCTAGCCGAGAAAGCTCAGAATATACGACACCTGTTCTCAAAAGTCATCGACAATTTCTTTATATTTCGGACCTTCATTATATTAACCTGGATTTAGTTCTGTATCGTGTTGTCATTGACAATGACTATATCGAAGTAGCTACCAAGCTACATGAACTATATCACTGTACTCATCATGTATTGCAACTGGCCATGCACGACCAGAAATTATGGAATCCAAATTCGAATCTTCTCCTACTTGATGTTGTAAAACAGTGTCCCCGTTGCAAGACTTATCAAAAGTTCCGTGAGCTTCCCATTGAATTACCTGAGATTCATCGAATCCCTGTTTTTAGCCGTTGACATTTAGATTTTGCTGGGCCGTTAAAAGACAATAATGGATACAAATATTTCCTTCTGGCAGCTGATTATACATCAAACCTTATAATCGTTAAACCGCTACGAGAACAGACTTTCCAAAGTGTATATGAAATAATGAGAACAATTTATGCTACATTTGGATGTCCCCATATGTTAATAACGGATAATGGCCGACAATTCGCGAATACCATTATACCAGAGGTGGCTAGAAGCCTGAAACTTAAATATTATCAGAGTTCCTCCTACCATCCTAGAGGTAACTCCAAAGCTGAACGAAGTGTTAAAATGATTAAGGAAGTTTTGAAGAAATTAGACCCTACCTTTGATAAATGGGTAGCTAACCTTTTCGTTGCAGCCAATATTGTCAATAGCACAAAGATGCTTTATGGATATGCACCTAGAGAAATAGCACTTGGTCTCCCTAGTGAGGACATTGCCGTTGATTTCCAACAAACAATACGCAGTCTTATCCAAAAAGAAGATGATGAACCTGGGGAGAATATGGCTAACCAAGAGCAAGCACATCTAGCTTTAATGAGTCATATAAAAACGAAAGCCATTCGTCTTAAAACGACAGACGAACGAATTAAGATTCGAGAGCTGTTAAAGAATGCGAGAAAAGACACAGATAATTATGTGCCTTACACCCGCGGCGAAACAGTTTATCGACTCCGTATAAAGAAGAATACGTTCGAATCAACTTGGGATGGACCATACCACATCGAAGAAGTTGTAGCTAAGAATACTTATAAGCTACAAGACAGAGATGGAAAGGTAAGGAAAGCGACCTATGATGGCTCGAAATTGAAACCTGCTTATAGCTACTATGGCTCACCCATCCGAACTGCGGCTGAATATACACGAGTGCATGGTGATAAGGAAAGCTACTCTTCAAAGCCGCCGATATTTGTATTGTTTCGACATAGCTCAATAGGAAATTAGCAAAGAGCTATGATTCTAGATAATACGTGTTACTATCTTTCACACGTATAAAGAATACCAGTAACCACTATTTGAAACAATCGTATATTATTGTTTCAAATAGTGGTTACTTTGTACATTAGAAAGAGAATATAGAACTCTTTAATTAATAAATATACTTATTAACAGTACTAGTCTACTACCAAATAGACGAATAGAATAGAATAAAAACCATAAAAGCTTTTATTCAACGTACAATTATTAGATATCTACAACTAAAAAATTCGCAACAAAGAATACAAAGGTATACGATCATGTGATCATGGTAGAGTAATCACGTTATGTTACCCGACTTCTAGCTAAAGAAAAGGGTAATAGTTTGAGATTTATTTTATTTTACTTACTACACTATCCCAACGCAAGATTTAAGATGAATGAGTAGATGCCCAAAAACAGTTCCAGCAACATCTCTTTACGCACTCCCCCCCCCCCATTATGCTGGTCCCTCCCTCTAAAGTGAAAAGTGTCTTTCTGCCTATCGGTAGAGATAACGTTTGTTGCCGTAAAGACAACTGTATTGCAAACAGAATAGAATGGGAAAAGCAAAAAGATCTAAAATTATTTGTTTCCAATCTTCTCCTGATAGTATGTGTTTTTTATTTTTTTTCTTGCACACAGCAAGCACAAGAAATACAGATAAACTGTGGACTAGCATGGTAGTTAGATTAGAGTGTTGATTGTCGATAAAAGCTCAAAACGAACTCGTAAAAATAACACAGTTTTGCTAAAGTTTCTGTCGCACATACTACAAACGTTAAAAAAAATTACACAGAATTTCAACCAATACAAGTACTAACTAACCATTTACTTACCAATTCCCTGTTAGTCGTCGTCTGCTTAAGTTTTCATTTTCATTTTCATTGTTTTACTTTTTTATGTTTGTTGGAAACAGCAATCCAATACCACTTTTCCTACTATCTTCAAACCTAACTAGATGTTTTTTTCAACACTTGACTAAAAAAGAAATAGATCCTAGATATTAAGAAAAATGTATAATAATCCTTGTAATCCAATCCATCTCGTCTACTCCACTCCAGTTCACTTCACTTCACTTCACTTCACTCCGACCTGCATGGGGGCAGTTTCGTTTCACACAGTATACTAGAGACAATTGGCATAGTATACTTGCCACGCCTGGAAAAAAGTAATGAGAAAATGGTAACTTCTTGAAATCTCGACAAAGCTCTTGTTTCTGATGCTTTGTTCTTTCTTTCTGTCTTGCTCACCTTGACTTGCTTAGTCTGTTTTATGTTGTGTTGTGTTTTTCCCATGAATCTTCCCTTTCTTTGTTTGACTCATCACATACACACATGCATACAATACGGCAAAAGAGACAACCATACATTTTCTCTGAACTAAACAGGTTCCCCTTTCCACCACTTCCTCTTCACTCTTAGACTCGGGAAAACCACACCAATACAGTCAAGTCAAACACATCCACTATGTTCACTATACTGTCTCTGTCAACTTATTTGCTGGTGGTGGTGATTCGTTATCGCTCTCAATTCTCATCCATACATACATCTCTTATTGCTATTATTGTTCTTTATGCCACCGTAACCGGCTCCTTCTTCTTCTGGTGAGTGTTGCTTGCTCTGCTCCCTTTCTTCAACAAAAAATTTCTCACAATTAATTATAAGTCCTTGCCAACCTCATCATCATCTCATCGCATCGACTAACTCAACCACAAGAAGAAGATGAAGAACAAGAACAAGAACAAGAACAAGACGAAGCAAAAAAGTGAAATCAAGATGTCAAAAAACAATAAAAAAAAGCCACCACCACCACATCCAGAATTACACATCCACCACCACAACTGCATAGTGTTGAAGTTCCTACTTGGTCTCTCGCACTTCTTTTGGGCTTCTTTGAAAGAGCTTTGATAATCACAGAATCTAAAATGATTTCAAATCTCGTATGGATGATTCACTAAGTAAGCAAAACTGTCCTTCTTACCAATTCCTTTTATCTTCTATCTATCAACCTGACCTATCTATCTACCGATCTGATAAATTTTAGTAACGTATGTATGTCTGGTATATGCATCTATGTTTCAAGTATAGTGAGTGTGTACGAATATGTATCTGTTGAATTTACAAATTGCAAGGCAAGTATACTACTTTAAATTTAAATTTAAATTTATAATTGACTTGGTTCAAGCTAGTGTGTGTGGCATCAAAAAATATAATACTAGTAATAATAACAACAATAATCTATAGTAGAATTGCCGTTGAGGTGAATAGATCAATCAAGCTTAGAAAAATGGTAAAATTGTAAAACACATTTCTTGTTTAAAATGTTCGATTTTATGAATCAGAATTTTCGTTTCTGTTGGGGAGGAAAAATATAGGGAGGCATTAAAAGATATAGATATAGATATTGATCAAAAGATCAAAAGATAACGAAATTACTACAATAGTAATGATGTAACCTTCAATCGAAGAACTGTGATTTTTGTGTTAAGTTTAGTAAAATGTGTGTGTAGCATGCATGGATTCCTTCTTTCTTTGGCTCGTGACCAAACGGTGGTGTCATTTCTTGTACCATTCCATTATAATGCAATGAAATTTGGATTCCCATTATTCTAATAACCCAGTTCACTTTCTAATATACTGTTGTTGTTGTTGTTGTTAATATCGTTACTGGGACAACATATATCTGAACTCTCCTTGTTGTGAAATTTTTTGAGAATTACTTTCATATTACCTATCCACCACTGTTGACTTCACATTTCAAGTAATACTTATATTGGTAAAAGAAAAAGGGTCTTACAAGGTGTAGTTGATATTTGAATCGTTTAACGTTTCGAAACAGAATATATATAAATGGAAGCTTTTAGATGTTCTATTTCATTGATCTGTGGATGGAATGATGAATAATCAGATCAGCTTGTTCCATTTTGTATTCTCTTCGTATCCTCTCTCTCACTCTCTCTTGACGTTGGTTTGGTTCTTTATTCTCAACAACAAGCATTTATTGGCTTTCTGTATATATTAAGTAAAATTAATTCGTACTGGTTGTCTAGAAAATTTATTCATCAAGATCAATTGATAGATTAGTTCATGTATATAATTGCAAATAATTTTTCAGTCAAAATTGAAAACAAATTATGATGTCAAAGCTAAACTCAAGTGCCGTCACTGAAACTGTGCAAAATTTAATTAAAACAGATGTAGAGTTAGGTTCACAATTGCTTTCTCTATTATTGATCAGCAGAGATAATTCAGAAGAAATAATTAATGCAATAAACAAGAACGTTTCTATCTCGTCAACATTAAATTCTTGTGATATTGATGAAAATATCAATGACAGCAAATATACCTATCAAACTGAAAGCATAAATAAAAAAAATGAAGCAGATGTTATACAAGGACAAGCTATTATATCTTTGCATTATAAGTCACATGTTGATGATGAAGATGATGAAGATGATTATAAAGACGACGGTGAAGACGTGGAAAAAGAAGTCGATGATGATGTCGATGATGAAGACGATAATGACGATGAAGAAGACAATGATGGTGAAGACGACAACGATGAAGATGATGAGATCCCAATAAAGAATGAGGAGTCTCAAGAGATAAATAATGAAGATTATTTAGCATTACTGGAGAAAAGAAGAAGAAATACAGAGGCAAGTGCAAGGTTTAGATTAAGAAGAAAACAAAAATATTCGGAAAGTTTAGCAAAACTAGATAGTTTAAATGTTGAAATTAAAAACTTAAATTTAAAAATTGATGAATTGACAGAAGAAAATAAGTACTGGAAAAATCGTTTAAATAGGGTAAACGAAATGAAATCAAATGAATTACTTTATCAAATCAGGAAGAAAAGTACATCTTCTTTTTAAATATATACTAAATCGTACTTGTCATCAAAATAGGATTGATGACACAGCATATGCATGCATAGATTCACTTTAAAATGAATATATAAATTAATTTATATAAATGACAAATAAAAATGGTCTTGGAGGTTTAATTAATAATGTTACGTGTTTTTTTGTTTTTAACTAAAGCTACTAATGCTACTCTATTATGAGAAAGCAGTCTTGGAATTTATCATCGGTGACATATACTGTTGTATTAACTTTTCACTACATGTATCATTTTTCCATCTACGAAATATATGTTTACGTCCAATTAAGTCTACTGGTTGAACGACGTTATCATCACTAACTGCTAATCGATTCTTAGGATTCGAATTGTTATTACTATTCTTGTTTTTGATACTAAAATATACATTCCCCTTTATTTTATGGAAATATCTTGAATTTCCTTCGTAAAACCAATTACCGTTATCAGATCTTGTTTTTAATTTGATTGGAAATTTCTCAATGAATTTATCGGTAAGTTTATTATCAATTTTACCAAATATTTCCTCTTGTTTATATTCGATTTTACGTTTTTCTT